GTGCGAATATTGCCGACGGGGCTCTGAGTCTGAGATGAAGATGTCCTTGAGAATGTAGGACTCTGGCTCTCTCCCCTAGCTCTGGAGGGGAAAACTTCTGCTTGCATGTAATGGTTATTCTCGCTTCTCGTAATAATCTCCATAGCAATTTGCACGGCTGTATATATATATATATATATATATATATATATATATATATATATATATATATATATATATATATATGTGTGTGTGTGTGTGTGTGTGTGTGTGTGTGTGTGTGTGTGTGTGTGTGTGTGTGTGTGTGTGTGTGTGTGTGTGTGTGTGTGTGTGTGTGTGTGTGTGTGCGTGTGTGTGTGTGTGTGTGTGTGTGTGTGTGTGTGTGTGTGTGTGTGTGTGTGTGTGTGTGTGTGTGTGTGTGTGTGTGTGTGTGTGCGTGTGTGTGTGTGTGTGTGTGTGTGTGTATGTCATTCATCTATTTTTACAGTCAATTTTCTATATTATTAATTTATTGATTTATTAGTTTAAGAATTTTTTTGCACATACGACCACCATGTAGTTCATTTCCTTTACGAATTTAATCGTACCCATATCTTGACCACAGATATTCTGGAGCTGATTTGTAGGAAATAGTGGAATGTTCTTCACAAAATCCAGAACAGTTTGTTCGTTCCGACAAAAGACCCTTTTCCTAAACATCTGTGCTCAAACGTTGTCTATTCTTACAAATGTTCTAGTTGTAACGCTAGATATATAGGCTCAACAACAAGGAATCAAATAATGAGATATTGCGAGCACAAAGAGGTCTATTATCGGACATTATCTCCACTATCCTCTCCTATGCACTCACTAATACGAGATCGTTTTCTTGAAACAAATCATGAAATATAACTAGATGACTTCACATTAATAAGAAAAACAGAAATAAAACTAGATGACTTCACATTAATAAGAAAAACAGAAATAAAACTAGATGACTTCACATTAATAATAAAAATACGTTATAAATGATTTAAGATTTTTAGAGTCATTGCTAATGAAATAAAACCTGACATAAATAACAATGAAAGTTCAGTTATTCTTAATACTGTGAAATAATTTGCACGGGTTACACCCCCTCCCTCCCTCACTCACAAACGCCACCTACAGCGGACATCCAGGCATTCAGACTTTCGTAAACTGTCGTGATTTCTACATGACCCAGACATATACTCCACATTACACCTATGGAGAAAATACGTAAACAAAATTCCCTTTTTTATGCTTCTATCTTTGTCATTCATCCATGTTTTAATTTTTGTGTTACTGTTATTTTGTTTTTGTTCGCGTTGTAATTGTATATTCGGTATTTGTATACATAGGTTTATACTGTATTTCTCTGTATTTCACAGCTCTTGATGTCCGAAAGCCTAAGTAATGAATGAATAAGCACATGATGTGGTTTCCTGTTGTCCTGGTCCTCCTGTTTATCCTGTGTGTGTGTGTGTGTGTGTGTGTGTGTGTGTGTGTGTGTGTGTGTGTGTGTGTGTGTGTGTGTGTGTGTGTGTGTGTGTGTGTGTGTGTGTGTGTGTGTGTGTGTGTGTGTGTGTGTATGCATATATGTATCCTGTCTTAAGATCCTTATGTTCATTTAAAGAGCCTCTACATAAGTACATAAATATCTTCCGCTCTGGACGATCAATTGCCTACGCACTCACAAACAATATGCAATTCGCCGGTCATATGATACACTACATATGAAGTCAAGCATGAGATTAACACGTCTTACCGTCGTACTTCATCCCGAGGTGTGGAGAAATACTCGGATTTGCTTTCGAGTCTGAGTTGCCAAAGTGACTGGCTGCCCATGCCCACTTCTCTCTCTTCGACTCATGCTGACTGGCAAATGGTGAAAGGTAAGCAGTTTTTTTTTAAATATTCAGAGCAGTGGTTTCCAATTTTTTTCTAGTGGTTACCCACTTTTCTTACAGGATACTAGGCATAACCCATAAATACAGTGAGTACAGTCCTACACTCATTAGGTCCACATAGAAACCACTCTAGCAATTCCTGTAATTTTATTGATTCCATGCAAGTGATTTGTTATTTTGTGAAGTAGTTAGTGATAAAGACATTTGAAATACTATACACACATCAAATCCTCAGATTATGGGCCCCTGCATTCTACTATGTGGCCCACAGTTTGGGAACCACTGATTTAGAACATCCGTTGCTTGAAGACTTAATACGAATCATTAAAATCATTTTTTGATCCGAGGGAGAAAAAAAAAAAAAATGCTCAGTCATTGTTACTATGATTTTTTTTCTTGATTTAAGAGTAAAGGCCTTGAGTGTGTCTGTGGTCTATCATTGTCTGGGGGTCATGGAGGCTCATGGCGAGCAAGTATGGCACTGGATAAAGGGTTTTTGAAATAGAGATCAGAATAATATCATGATGTTGCAGACACATAGTGACTTTGCAATACTTGATTATTATTAGGACAAAGGAAATCATCAATAATAACACAATGCGTTTTGCTTT